AACCCTAAATCCCTAAAAAGTGACGAACATTGTTTAAATTTGTTTTAATCCTAAATAAACCATAAATCTTAATTAAAAATCACTTCTAACACAAATCCATGACCCGTATGCTAAATATCAGTAAAAGTTAAACAAGATTTTGTTAGAATAAAAGGAAAAATACCTGTCAATGGCACCAAGAACAGTGTCAGAATCGTCTGTGCTTTGTGGTCCCTTTCGAATGTTCTATTCTATTCCTTCAATGGAGATTCGTTTGGTTGGTGGGTGGAGTAAAGTTGTTTCCTTCTATGGTCCTTTTCTGGGTTGTGGGGTTAATAGAAGCTTTTCTTTGTTCTCGATACAATGCTCGGAGTCGGATGGTTTCCTGGCATTCATTTGTCTTTCTTTTTTTTTTTTTTTCAAACCTTTAGTCAGCGGTGGGACCCACAAAAAAATTGGTAGTAGGTAGACTTCCCGCTCGTGGGGTTCCAAGTTGGCATGCTAGGTTGTCAAAAAATTCTGAGTTGGCGCTGACATGCGCATACTTGACGGAGGCCAACGGTGCACGTGCTACACATGAGCTCCGGCGTTAAATTTTGCCTCATTTCCTCAACTCGAAAACTTTAAGGGTAAAAATCCATGTATTGTAATATGGAGGGTAAAAACCCTAAAAGTCAAAAAGTTAAGGGGCAAATGGGTACCTTTTGCCGGGACTAGAGTGGGCATAAGCACACCTGCTACTTGTTATTTGAAAATATTTCATTTATTTGTATAAATATTGTATTTGAATTTAAAAAAATTAAGTAATAGATTAAATATGAAAAAAAATAAATATCATTCTCAATTTTTAAAATAAATGAGAGTTTTAATTTTAAATTAGTTGTTTTATTTAATAAAATTTAATTTAAAATTTAAAAATTAATTATATTAAAATATATAATTGATCTTTAAATCTATATGTCAACATTTAACGTAGTAAATTTTTAAATTTTGAATTAAAATTTTGATTTTTAAATATATGTTGGAACTCTAATTTTTTTAAAAAGTTAAAATTGATAGGCACTAATTTCATAAATATATCATACTTATATATATTAAGTTAAATAACAAATATGATGATTTAAAATTATTTCTCCAACTTGTTTAACCATCTTGTTTAATTGATATGTTATTTATATTTGTATAATTAAAATTTTACATGTATTTTTTATATCTAATATATAAAATGATAATAATTTTTAAAAATAATAATAAAAAATATAAAAATAAAAATAAAAGTTATGACCTATAAACTAATCAAATTATATATGTAATAATAACAACTTATGTAAATAATAAATTTTAAATCAAACATAAAACACAAAAAACAATAATATCTTAAACTAAAACATTTTTTTTATAAACTAAATACATAAATATCTACTTATAAATTACTCAATACCTATTAAATTAAATATTAAATATAAAATTTTAAATATTTAAATAAACATCAAATTTAAAACATTATATCTAAAATTTTATAACTCAATTATTAAATATGCCTTGTAATATACTTGTATCTCTCACTTCTACTTGCGACAAAGCCACAGCCACACCACGAAAAAGAAAAAAAAAAATCAAACTCAAAAGTACAATTAAAAATTTAAGATGTTATTATTATCGTCAACACGCAACGGGCCAAAAGTCACACCACTTTATTGGTTGACTTGGTTAAGGCCATGGTTCTTTCGAGGTTTTCTAAAGTTAATAATTTACCTTGCGAGACGGGCTTACCATTCAAATCTCTGCATTTTTATTTTATATTGTTATGGCCAGATGACAATATATCATATAATCAACCTTTAAAATCTCCAAGTTCCACCATTTATGGAATCCAGGACTTGAACAACCGATTTTTTCATACAATCCCTGCCAAGTGGTGGCTGATCCAACCAAAAAAAGAAAAAATCCCTGCCCAGTGGTGTAGCTAGAAATAATTTTTAGAGGGGGCAAATGAAATTTTGAAAAAAAAAAGCATCTTTGCATTAATGAAAAAAGTTAATAAAAGGAAAATTTTAATAAAAAATTATTTTAAATTAAGATTTGTTAGTCTTTTAATAATAAACTAACATTAATTGATGGTATGTATTATATATGACATCAAATTAAAAAATAAAATAAACATATATTATATAGAATAACACTAATAAACAAAAAAACAAAAGTAGAAGGCTATTTATAAAAAAAAAGTATTAATAAATAACTATTTTATAAAAAGATGATATTAAACAATTTTGTATTCAATAAATCTTTATTTTTTATTATATCTTATCTGTATTTTCCTCATTTTTCTGATAATCACCAAAACTAATCTTTGAAAAAAAAGGTTAAAAAATAATTAAAATGTATGAAATAAACAAGGATTGAAATAATAAAAATATAACTTAAAGGACCAAAGTTTTATTTCTTAAAAGTTTAGGTGGGGCCTGTGCCCTCTCAGGCCACCCTTTATCTCCGCCAGGGAACCCTGCGGTTCTAATATCATGGTTGAAAAAGGCACCACGTCTCAGCTTGGGATCAGCACTCATGTTTGATTCGCACAATATCTCTTGTTGAAACGTGCTATTTTCTGAAGGTTTAGCAAGTTTTCCGTAGGGACTGATAAGAAATTTTTGACTTTGTGGAGGCTAAAGCCTTTTCCAAGTCTTCTAAAATCAATTACCTTACAAATGACATTTCGGTTCTAACTTGATATCGTGAATAGTCATAATCAACCCTTAAATACATTAAGATAATATCTGACTTCCATTCACACTTAAATGGAATTCAACAATCTATTAATTCCATCTTCTAGTCTAAGATTCTAAGCCAATGAGTAATTAATTTGGGGCAAAAACATAATTCAAAGTCCTAACTCAGACCCCCTAAACTGAAATTTCCATGCTGAAAAAGGCGTTGGAACGCCTGAATTTTTTCGACAAAGTCCTTTTCTTTTCCTAAAGCTAAAGCTAGGAAAAGTCACAAATTGTTCTACAGGCATAGAACAAACTAGGGACTATACTTACCTGCTGCCACAGTCGTGCTTTTTGCACAAAATTGAAAGTTTAGTTCTCAAATCCATGTTAAACCATGGCTTTCGCTTCTTCATATTCTCCATGTCTCATTCTACTTTTCCTGCTGCCAGTTTGTGTCTTAGCTCAAACATCTCAGAATATGACATTGGGCTTCTCATTAACCGCAGCACTTGATAAAAATGATTCCTGGAAATCTCCATCTGGAGATTTTGCATTTGGATTCCAACAGATAGAAGCTGGAATGTTCATGCTTGCCATATGGTTTGACAAAATACCTGAAAAAACCATTATTTGGTCAGCCAATGGTACAAATCTGGTGCAACCACGCTCCAAAATTCAACTTACAACAGATGGCCAGTTTAGGCTCGATGACAGCCAAGGAAAGCAAGTGTGGGCTACTAACTTGGCTGGCTCTGGTACCGTTTTTTCTGCAGCTATGCTCGACTCTGGAAACTTTGTGCTGGCAAGCTAGGACTCCACCAACTTGTGGGAAAGTTTTGATCATCCAACTGATACAATACTACCCACACAAATATTAAACATAGGCAGCAGCCTTGTTGCTCGCTATTCAACAATGAACTACTCGAGCGGAGGATTTTTGATGCAGTTACAATCAAATGGAAATCTAGTACTTTCTACTGTACATTTCCCACTGCTTTCACTAAATACTGATTACTGGTCAACTAACACTAATGGAAGTGGCTTTCAGGTTATCTTTGACCTGTCTGGCTCTATCTACCTAAAAGCTGAAGATGAAAGCATACTCAGTAATATAACATCAATTGGAGCTTCATCTAACAACTTCTACCAGCGAGCAATCCTTGAATATGATGGTGTCTTCAAGCAATATGTCTATCCAAAGAACAATAGTGTCGCTGATGGAAGGCTTATGGCTTGGTCCTCGGAGTCCCATGTCCCAGACAACATTTGCATGAACATCACAACACAAAACACAGGTAGTGGGGCTTGTGGGTTCAACAGCTATTGCCATCTAGGAAATGATGAGAGACCTATATGCACGTGCCCACCTGGATACTCACCCTTGGATACAGATAATGAAATGAAGGGATGCAAACAGGCTTTTGTTCCACAAGAGTGTGATGGAGGCCAAGGTGCAGATCTTTTTCATATAAGGGAGCTATCCAGCGTAAATTGGTGGGGAGGGGATTGTGAATATTTTAACCCCGTTGGTGAGGATTGGTGCAGACAGAGATGCTTAACAGATTGCTTTTGTGCTGTTGCAATCTATAACACAATTAGTGAATGTTGGATGAAGAAAATTCCTCTGTCAAATGGAGTGCAACTTAATACTGATGGAACGAAAGCACTGGTCAAAATAAGGAAAGGAAATTCCTCAACATCCGTTGCCAATGGTTTAAAGAAGCAGACGTCAACAATGAATATTATTCTAACTATGCTTTTAGTAGCTCAGCATTTTTGAACCTTGTTCTGTCAATTGCTACTCTTTGGGTTGTTTTCAGGAAAAGAAGGATCATTCAGCCAAATAGAGAAATCCAAGGCGGAAGTTTACGAAGCCTCACTTACAAGGAACTTGAAGGAGCAACAAATAACTTCAAGGAAGAACTTGGGAAGGGTGCTTGTTCAACAGTTTACAAAGGAATTCTTGCTATTGGTAACAACAATTTGATTGTTGTTAGGTTAAATACCTTTTTTGGTCCTTCTACTATAAGAAAAAGCTCCTTTTTAGTCCATGTACCCACTATTGGAAAATTGGGTAAAAACGATAAAAACATATTCGACAACCCACTAGCTGTCAAATAAAATCACATATTCGACACCATTACTGTCGAATAAGGTTGATTGTCGATGATAATCGATTTTTTGGCTCATAATCGACAGAAGACTTATTCAACAACTATTCTATCGAATATGTGCTTTTATTCAATAGCCTAAGGGCTGTCGAATATGTATAATCCACAGCCAAATGGCTGTTGATTATGTTTTTTATACATTCGACAACAATGCTGTCAAATATATATAGGAAACGACGACGTTTCCTCTATATATTCGACAGCATTGCTGTTGAATATACTTGATCATTAAGCTCTCGTCCCCCCTTTCTTTCCCCATTTCTTCTTCTTCCTTTGCAGCAGATCTGGTTCGTTTTCTCCAGCCCTGTGATTGCCGTTGCCGCCGGATTCTGGCTTCTTGCCATTAAGCTCCCTGCTGTTGGAATATCCGGTCGGTGAGTTGGCCCCTTTCTGCGCAACGATCTGGTGGTGTTAATTTTTTTTTCCCTTTGATTTACATTCGGCATTTGCAGATTTCCTAGTAGATCCGTGCGTTTTGGTGCAAGATCCATCGCCTCTAAGCCACCACGCGCCTCCATCCTGCGTTTTGTAAGTTGCAGC